TCCACAAGTACGACCTTTCGGTCACGTGAAGACATGCAGAAAGCATCAGTTTTTAACTGCATTTAACAGAGAAGTTTTGTTTTCGTTTTTGTTTTGTTTTTTAACTTGTGCCCACGACACCTGCCTCTATCGAGGACAGGAACTGGGTTCCGGGCACCGTGCACCCAATTTGACATTTAAAGATAACATCCCTGAGAGATCCTGTCAGCCAAGAAGCTGGGTCAGGGCCGTGACACCGCCACTCCCATCATCTTTGTTGTCATCGCTGTCACCATCGGCATCAAATATTTATGGCTCTACTCTACTGGGAAACCCAACATATCTCCGGGGGCATCCATCCATATTAAATGTTTCTTTCCCATACGTGCAAAAGTAGCTTCATTTGGCACCTCTCCTACTTTAAAGCACACACAGGGGGTCGTGTCCACATGAGATTTATTTAAAAAGAGAAGAAAATATTAACTAGAGCAACACCATGTTGGACTTTAAGAGTAGAAACATGAAAACTACAAATTTGAAAAGCAGCTTTTCTGTACCCTTCCCCCTAACAGTTTTGACTCCTAGTTCACAGAAATGTGAGGGACAATTCTAAGTCCCGCAGAGAAGAAAATGTTTTCAGGCACTTATTTCTCAAACCTGGTGAACTTGCCTGCTTGTTCAAGCTCTTTCAGAAGGTGTTGTCTGAGACTCACCCAGGTCAAGTGTGTGCCCAAAGGCAGTTTACAGAAGCATTTCCCTAACGTCCTGAAGTGCAGGTTGCCTCCCCACTACATCTGAGCGAGGGACAGCGCCCTGATTGGAGAACGTCCTGTCTAGAATGTGAGCCTTCTTTGACACAGTGTCCCATATATAACACCACAGAAAGGACATTGGATGGAAGGCAACTCAGAAGTTCTACCTCAGCCGTGTGTTTGCGGCATCCGGGGTCCCTTGCTTCTTTCTCAAGTGCCATATTTTGCTGTGTATGATGCACACTTTTTGCTCAAATTTTTGAGGCAAAATAAGGATGCGCATTATACCTGGGTAGTGCTACTTCCGTATCTATATAAATTTATTTATGCTTCTGCATTTACAAGTGTAACTCTAGAAAGCAATAACAAATCCATATGCAAAATGACATCCTACAATATGATCATCAGTTTCATATATAAATTAAAAAAACTGAATCAAAAAAATTAAAAAAGCTTTTTTCCTGAAAGTTTGGGACACAAACATGGATGCACATTATACACGGCAAAATACGGTGAGTGGGCTAACAGCCTCTCCCCCGAAGGCCAAAGTCTACACAGGCCCACCAAGCCTCTTCACCCAACCAAACTAGAAATACACTTTATCCCGTTGTTTTAATTTTCACGAGGGGTAGAAAAGACATGAAAAGGCCACCATGCCCAACCCTGGTGGACGTGGAAGGGATATATGTCACGGTCACACACAAGCACCGTAGTCTGAACAACTCCTGGCTGTCGGGAGTGGCTGGGGGTGGGGGGTCATCCGGGGACAGGAAGACCTCACAGAGCCAACACGGCCACCGTGCAGATGATGTCACTCAACATCTTAGAGGTCTGGCAATTTAATGAGATGGCCCTGGTATTTTTTAGCAATTATTACATATTTGACAAGAAACATGTGTAACAACCCCCTGCTATTTCACAGGTGACAAATAAATTTTTTAGGCAAATACAGCAGTCTACCTCAAAGTACTCCCAGAGAAATAACCCAATTTCAAGAGTCCAACTCCTAGAAGGTATGTTTTACTAAATCCGATATTCAAGCAGGAGCTAAAGGCCTCACAATCCAATAACCCAGGGCACCATCTCCTGCTCACTTTAAAGCTGGCCCTCCTATTCCACGTCCAGGAAGTAAATTTGATAGAAGGTATTATAGGAGTTTAAAGGATGCACACACATTTTTATTTCATTTTATCTCTATCCTTGCCCAAAAACATGCTTATTGATTTTAGAGAGAAGGCAAGGAAGAGACAGAGGGACAGAAACATCAGTGGGTTGCCTCTTGTTCACGCCCCAACTGGAGACAAAACCTGCAACGCAGGCATGTGCCCTGACCGGGAATTGAACCTGTGACCTTTCAGTTCACATGAGGAAGCCCAACCAACCGAGCCACACTGGCTAGGGCCATACCTTCATAATCTACCCTGGTGCAATACCTCTAAAAAGTAAGAGCCATCCTTTTTCTTAACTTTCTCCATTTAGTATCAACTCCTTCAGAGTCATAACTCAACACTAGAGACAAGGTCAGACATCGAAGCCTGTAAGAATTTTTATGAGTTTCTTTGAGCCAAACTGATGACAACAGCCAGGAAGCCACATCTCAATGGACTGAGAAAACGCTCAGGAAAATGGTAGTTTTGCTCCTTATTTTTACATTAGAATCAAAGGGGAGCACATAAGGGGGTTCCACTGTTACCGTCGGTATTTAACTAGAAAAGAACAACAAAGAGAACTAGACATTGAACTTCATAAACTGGGGAGCATAAGCCTGCTTGGTAGCCAAGAAGCTGGAGCTTCACACCCCAGGGGACCACAGCATCGCTCCGCCAAGTGGATTAACACTCCTCCCTTCCCCCCTCAGTACCGGAGTGTCGGGGGCACAGGGGGCGGTGCTGAACCACAGGGGCCCACCAATCCATCCCTTTGAATGGGATGAACCCATTCAAAGCCCGTGAAAGCCTGAGTTCACTGGTTCTTATAAAAAGCACCTGGTCCATCCCAAACTGTCTTTCTCTCTCCCCTCTGCTCCTGCCCAGTAATGTGCTCCCATGTTCTCCCTCCTCAGCAGCTGCAGCCATGGGGACTCCGCCACTGGAGCGGCCGCCAGAAGCTAAGCTACTCGTATGGGCACTGAGACGGCTAAGCAGCCACCAGCAGGCTCCAAAGGACTGAGCTTGAACATGAAGCAGAAACTCCAGACACTGGCTTTTGCTCTGGCCTTGCAGCTGACACAGTTGGACTCTTCCCATGGTGAGGCAGAGGGAGACGGGACAAGGAAAGCCCAGGGGGAAGCTTCTATTTCCAGAGATAAAGGACGCCACACCACCATCTCCCGTGTGGGGGCGCTTGCGATGCTTTCCTCAGGACCCCGTGGAAGGGCCTGATTTCCATTGACAACGACCCAGAATCCACTGGTGACGGATTCGGGAGGTGGGAGAAAGCAAAGCAGGGAAGCTCTGGGATTGGGTAAAAAGTAAAACTATACACACACTTCTGTCACATGGATGAGTACAGAGAGTTAACAGTTAACAACTGACACAAAAAAGCAGTAAAAATGAGGGGTTTTCTGCTCCTGTGGAACACTGAGCCCTGGGGGGGTCTGGAAAAGGAATTACCTTGACACTCCAAAGGGATGTTACTGGAGATGCAAAAAGACAGGGGCCAGGCTCTGTGAAAGCCAAGATCGACCTTTGCCAAGGACTATCCAGGCCTAGGGTACGACTACTGGCCCTGACTGGCCTTTGGTAAGAGGTTTTCATTTCAGTGCATCCTCCGTGGTTACTTTCAGTCTGAGTTTTTAATGCCGCTGTACAGGCTCCCCTGGGCTTGTCAGGTTTACCACGAGGCCCCTTCTTCATCCACAGAGCAGAGAAAAACAAAACAGAACAAAAAGCACCTCTATGAAGGGGAAAAAAGGTAGAGGCAGACAATAAATCAAACCATCGCAGACAGAACACAGTTTAAAGAGTGGGGTACACGAAGGTCCCCTTACCTCTTTCTCCCTTTCCATTCCCTGGGAATTCATCGCCAGACCCTGGGGACTGTGTCACATGGTCCCTCCCCCGCCACCATCCCTTCCAATGGTTTCTCTCTGTTCTTATCTCCAAGGACTGGGAACCATATTCCAGAACGTTCTTTCTGCCATTCTACTCTCAACTAGGCTCAACGTGAAAACCATACCCAAAGCAATTCTATTACTGCTTTGGAAGCAGAATACTTAACAAATTTTGAAATTAGATGACCTAATATTTGTAGAATTTTATGCTTGGTCTCATCCCAGAAGAAAAATGTTATCTAAAGCCAAAAGTTTCTCAGTGCATATGGACTTAATGCAAAGCTCCATCTGCTTACTTACACGCAGGACCGTGAGAGGTGGAAACGCCACGGCGGGACAGGAGGAGGTGCGGACCGACCGATACTCCCTCGGGAAATTTCCCCCGAACGAGCTGGGACTAGAGGCCAGATGTTTTGGGGATGTCCTGGCCGCCTCAGGCCATTCCAAAAAAACTGACGTTCTGCAGAGCCGACACAGTTTGAGCCGTTCTTATGCAAGAAAACTCCAACTGGTCAGATGGACTAGGAACCAGGGCAAATGAAAGCTCAATATATGTATGAGCCCCTAGGTTATCCTAACAGTAACCTGTATCTTACTTACCAAAAAGAAGTTAAAGCCACTTAAAATGTATAAGGGGGGACCCCCCAAAAAAGGAAGTACCTTCTGGAGGGTGGGCCCCTTGTAGTATAGGCTTCCTGTGCTAGGGGAGTGTTCTAGGAGACCATCTGGATCAGTGGACCAGCTGGCGTTGTTGTGAGAGGCTGCATTTGGCTTTGGTGAATGTTTTTAAAAGACTCAACACATTTTTGCCCCCTCCATGATTTGTGATTTACGAGTACACCTACCACAGTGCGCTGAGTGTTCAGCAGTTTTTGACCAAACCCCATGTTCTTCTTACTTCCCTCCTCCAAAATCTACACCGACACCTGAAGACAACGCACCAAGAACCCCCAAGCACCAATGAGACAAAAAGGATACATGACGTTATATAAATTATTAAAAAGAACAAAAAACAACTCATCATATTCACATCCACAAAAGCCTAGCACCGAAAACAGTATGAATGGCTCTACAAGTGGATTAGAAGATGCATCTCTTAAATGATATTTGTGTGATTTACTTTCAAGGGTGACGAGCCGTTTCAAAGAGAAAAAAACTGATAGGAATAACAGCATCTTTTGATCTGAACCTTATTCCCACCTTCAGAACTCACCCACCTCAAGTTTAAGTAGGTCAGCGCCTGCAGGTTCACGACGGCCTCGGGGATGACTCGGATACAATTGTGATGCAGGTTAAGAGTTTCCAGCGACACAAAGTGGCACACTTCCACGGGGACCTCAACCAGCCTGTTTTTAGATAAATCTGTGAAAAAAGGAAAGAATACTTTGTCAATAATCTTCAACAGAATCCAGGACAATTTTACCAACTAGCATACTTTTTCCTTAACGTGTTTTGAAACAATCATCATAACCTGCACTTGGATCAACATTACCATTTTCTGCACCGCTGTGAGCACGGTGTCATGATCCCCATTACGAGCGCATCAGCCCAAGTCACGTGGGAAAGGTGCTGCTGTAGCAGATTCAGCTCTCGATATTCATTCGCAAATTCAGGGCAGAAAGAAGCGTGACTGAGTCAATATTTACCTTCCACGTCATCTGAAAATCATTTCACAATTATCCTCCCCTAGACAAGCATCTCAAACTATACCCTTGAATATATCCGAGTGCATATATTTACCCCAGCGTTTAATTTGATTTTGCATCCATAACATGCATTATCTCTCACAATATAACTTTTGTATCTTCTGCAAGCGAGCACATCGTAGATGCTAAACAAAGACGTCATTCCCTAGATTACTGACGCCGGCCATGCACAAGGAGGACCAGCGCATGTCGGCTGCGTGGCCTGCGGCAACCCTGGGCTCTCTCCGCCAAATGCTCCCTTGGTCTACAGAGCAAAGCAAACACGTGCGAAGTTTATAATGTCACCACTGCAACAATAAAGAAATGCAGTGCAGCCCTGTAGGTCTAAATCTGGGAAGGGCAGCAATTCACTGTCAAATGCCACAGGACACCGAATAGGAGACGAGCCACCCCTCTCAAAATAGTAACACAGCAATGGCGGATCACCCCGTACATCAGTAGGAGGGACTCGACTTAAGGAAACTTAAATAGGTCAACACTATTGATAGCAGTCCGTAGATGAGATGGCAGTCACAGAGCCACCTTCTTGAAGATCTTCCAACCCACGAATCTGTAAACAGACAGAAAACAGGCCTGGATGACTGCACAGGGGACTCTAAGAAATTCTGAAGGGACAGTTCCTGTAATATTTAAACTATTCTAAAACATGTAAAAAGCAGGACAGTTTCCAAATTCTTATGTAAACAGGTGTAATATCAATGCTCTGACCTAACAAAGAAAGTACATGTGCCTCCCTTCCCAGTACCAAGTCCTAAATCTGAAAACCAGCAAAGGGAGCTGAGCACTAGATAAAAAGATGGGCACACCACGGCGAAAAGGGATTCATTCTAGCAATAGAGGCTTCTGGATTATTTAAACCATTCGCCGTATAAACAGTAAAAGTGAAATGGTACATGCATTGCTATAAATACTTTATTACTTACACATCATGAAATTGACCAAGTTCAAGCACACAACTCGGTGCTCTCTAGTAATTTTACTAGAGTGCGTTTGCCTCACACATCAGTTTCAGAGTATGTGTGTTCCTTCCTAGTGCCGCTGCTCAGTAAAAGGAGACCAGCTGGACATTTCCTTACGTGACTTACAAACACGACTGAGGGGATATGCCTCCATTTATTGCTGCCTCATGGACGCCTAGAAATGTTACCCTTACAGGCAATCACTGCTACTAATACTGCTAGTACCATTTACTATTATTATTCAGGAGGTACCAGTCAATGACACAGGATAAGAAAAGAAAGGACAAACCCAAATAGGAAAGAAAAAGACGAAATGCTACCGCCCCCACTGACTGGTACAGTGAAGTCGTCATTGTTCACACATGCGCATTCCAGTCCACTCTCCTTGGCTGCCAGGTTACATGGACATTGTACAAACCATTCTCGTTAAATCCACAGTGGCTGGGCATTTTCGGGACAGATCTTGTATAGGTACATATATATAAATAATATGGATTACATATAACATACATAAATTTATATACATGATAACTTCCCACCAGCATTCTTATTCTTTCTCCACACAAAGAATTTCATTTCACTGGACAAGAAAGGAGACCACAGCAAACCATGGAGTCCCACAAATTAAATCAAGGGAAACGATCGGGAAGAGCTTCCTTCCAGGAATGCTTACACCCTAAACAGACAAAAATGCCAGATGTCTCTAACATTCATTCTTCCCGAAACCCCACCATGCATGACAGCCACCTTCATTTACGTGCTGTGATGCTGGACATCGACCCCGAAAACGTCTATGTACAGCACCCCTCAGGTGCAGGTCCAATTTACATTCAAACCCTTACCTTTCCTGACACTCGCCAGAACTATACTCTCAAGTTGTATGTTTTGATAACTATTTTAAGTAATAACGTTTTTATTAGGATAGGGCTTTTGTAGAAACAGGATATCAAATTAACTACAGCAACCACTCCAATCTGAGAGCAGAAGACCAGCTCTAAACCTATAACCAGTCTGGATTTTGAGAAAGTGACTCAACTTTCTAGGTCTCTGTTTCCAAGTAGGTAAAATTAGAATACAGGCACATGGGTGAATTCAAAAATTCCTTTCAGATCTAAGATTTCTGTGACTAAGTAAAAGGTATCCAGAATTCAGGGATTTTCTGCCAAAAGCATTCAGAACCCAAGTGATGTTTTTCATCATAATGATCATAGCAGTAGTCAAATATGATAAAATCCAAACCTACTCATAGTAAATATAAGCACATCCTTTTAATGAATTTGCCATCTCATTGTAGAAACTACATCCTATCATATCATCTGAATTTTAGAAGTACTGAATTTTCTGTTTTCAAACTTGGAGAAAAGGTAATGGTAGGAGAAAACAGTATAAAATAGGTTACAAATTAAGCTACTAGTCAATTCTGGGCTAACGTTTCTAATAGTATAATTAACTATTCGCTAGAAAACGATGCTGGGATAATGGTCTAATTAGCATGTGAGTCTGCTCCTGTCGTTAAAACTTCCAACACAGATTTCCTCCGCCCTCCCCCACGAACCCCAGGCTTGCGGGGAACTTCCTGCCCCCCTTTCCTCCCCAGCCCTCCCTGCTCCCACCCAAGCGCAGAGAGGCAAAGGCAGTGCACCTGGTAAAGCCTTGATGTCACATTGCTCATCAGCTCTCTCCTGCCTAAGTCTCTGCTTTTGGTTGTGCTGTTCTGGATACAGTTTCTCAGGAATGCTTTTATTGAAAGGAGTCTGACTACGCATTATAAATAAAGTTGTGAAGTGTGGACAACGACGCCTGAGACCGTCCTGCTAGCAATGGAAGACACCTCCCTGCCTGCCTGCCTGCCTGCCTGCCGAGTTAGCGAGACTTCACCTGTGCGATGCCCCTATCTGCCTTCCTGAGAGCCTGCTCCAGTTTCTACACGGAAAGGAAGAAATTACATCACGAAATCTACACAGAGCTCTGACTCTCTCAATGCCTGTGTGAAAAGTGTCGCCTGGAGCAGCACCATTCAAAGAAAAGCAAAACTGAAGTACAGGGAGACAAAAGTTTTCCTTCCTTAGTTGTTTAGGTTAATCGCCCCGATGATGAATTATTAATATGCTCATCAACACAGACTCAGTCCTCGGTTTCAGCAGGAAGGGAAATACACATACGTTCACTTTCAACGTTATCGTTTCTATTTGCAAGGCGAAATGAGGCACATGCACAGGGAACCATAAGAGAAGATGTTCTAATGGTGCTTTTTTAAAAAGTGTAAACCAAGAGGTCAAATCCAGTCGGGTAAAACTAAGGCCCCCATTCCCTGAGCCCTCCTATCATAGCAGACAAAACACCAGCAGCTTATATCCGGCACTCACACAAACCACCCACCCTCCCAGGAGGAAACCAGGCTCAGAAAGCTCATGGGACCGGCCCAAACTCAGAGGTAAGTCACTATAGTCACAGCTAACTGGGAGACAGACAGACTCCAGAGCCACACGAGGCCACCCTTTCCGCGTGGCACAGTGGCCAGTAAGGCCTGTGCCCCTGCAGGGAGATGCCCAGGAAGAGACAGCAACTAAATCTTCCCTGCATTCCAAAACAAAGTCGACACGTTCTGTGCACAGTCCCGGCGGGGAAGAATGTTGCGAGCATTATGCTCAGAAAGAAAGTACTGAAAACAACAGTGAGCCGAGAGGCTAAATGCTGGAAGTGGTGGCAGGAAGCTTAAGAATTTGAAACCTTCACTGAAGGTTCTAATTATGCTGACCTTACATCATAAGCCCTATGTTTCACTGAGGACTTCAGAATGGGTTTCTGAATACACAACTCACTCTTCCCTACTTGTCTCAGAGTATCATCTAAGTCTCAGTCAACTTTATGACTGGAAGAGAGAAAGCGGGGGCAACCCCAAACTGGGTGCGGTTGCCTCCCCATGCCTTACTTAGGCCAATGCACAGACCATCCTATCCAGATGGGCCAGTGTTGTCAGTCTGCTGATGCACGAGAGTGGACAAATAACCAATCACGGGCAGGGAAAAAAATAGGTTCAAAATTATTTTCTGCTAGTTGAATTCAAAGAAATAAAATAAGATCTGGTCCCTCTCTCTTAAAAAAAAATTGAACATAAGGAGGTGAAGAAGAAAGGAATCTAGAATTTAAATGCCATTAGTGACAACTGGAAGAAACAGCTCCCAACGGACATGTGTCCCTCGCTCGGCCTTTGAAAGAGCAAACCCGTGGCAGGACGCAGACAGAGGGGCAGCACCAAGTTGGCTTACGAGCTATTTGGTGAATGAAACATTTGCCTAGCATTTCTCAACCGTGCTGGCACACTGGAACGACTTGAAAAGTTTTTACAAATTCTGACGCCTGGAGCCCACGGCCAGAAGTGTTAGGGTGTGTCGTGGGCATCCGAAGCCCTCACCTGCTTGATTCCCTCCCTGTTTTCTAGGGGAAACGCAGGCTGGTCCGACCTCTCAGCTTTCCCTACAAAAACACACCAACAGGTGGCGCCCTCCCACGAGCAAGCGGAGGAGCCCAGGAGGGGTCTGATGGGACACCAGCCTGGGACCTCAGCGGGCAGCCCAGCTGGATAAAGGAACTCTGGCCCATCCAGGGGTAACCAGAGGGGAGCCGAACAAATTATAAATTGCTACAATCTTAGTAAAGTAGGCTTTTTCCTTACTGACTCCTCGGCATAACTTAG